AGACGTTATGCTCAGGACAATGATACGTGGACCAAGCGTGTGGTTCTTCGGTGAGTTGTATCGTTCGATTCTTGTCTTTTATACATTTCTCTGCTACACGCAGGGTAAGATCCACTCCTACGATATTAACAGTTGGATGATATCAAGTATCACTGACCTAATTTTAAACATTACCTGGATAATACTCTGTTTGCATATAAAAAAGGTGCAAAATGACCCAACCCTCGAAAAAACGTGGATAAAAATCAGTAATAGCTTTCAAGAAAATTTCTGCCTCTTCGTAATCTCGATCTTCGTACAGAATTATCGCATAAATTAATAATCTAAAATCACGAAGTTTAGTTTTGACTTTGATTAAAATTTATATTTGAAAGAAACTGGGACTAGAGACTTGCTTACGCGAACACATATTGCCTATTCAAAGCAAGCGCTTCTAAACAGCATTGTTTCGAGCGTTCAATATCGCCAATTTTTTTTAAAAAGATCGCATACTTTGTCCAAGGTTCTGGGTTATTCTTATTCGCTGTTATTGCCTGCAAAAAGAATGGAGTATTCGTGGGCTCATGCAGCGATTAGAATACTTAAGCCAAGAAATTAAACATCGGAAAATTTAATATAAATATACAAATCGGATTAAATGTTATTAGATTTTATAAATTAACATTTCATAAACATAATATAAAATTACTGTCGTGTAATAACGTCTCGCTTTGTGTAAATCTCCAAGCTCGTAAGCCTCTTCAGCATAAAAATACGACAGCTCTAAGTTCACAACATGCGGTAGATCTTCTGCATTTCGACCTTCGACGATTTTGTTGATCGCCACGTGCATCTGTTCCACCAAGTACGTGTACACAGATGCGATGAAGTTCTGCGTAAACAAGTATCAATAAAAAATATAAATTATAAACGCGGAATATAATTTTAAGTACCTGAGTTTGATTGGAATCGACTAGGTTGGAAGGCATCTTAAATCTTTGATCTAGCAACATTGTGACTTTCGTTCTCAGTGTGTTACGCAAGGATAAATATACTCCAGTTTTGTAAAGATATTGCGTAAAACATGTTAACTCGTCCTGAAATTTACACTCATATTTAATGCGTTTCGGCTGCGTAATAAGTGTAATTCGTTTACCAGTTTAGGATCATAACAATATTTTTTGTGTTTCTTTTCTTCGCCAATAGTTTCGACGATTTTAAAAGGCTCTTGGTTTTTCTTATTTTCGTCGCAAAAATCCTGGCTTGAAAAAGTAAGAATTCAATAATTGTAACATTTAAGGTGCAATTAATTGTTGTCATACTCGGTAGCTTTCTGTGATAATTTCTGCCAATTTTTGTATGCAATTCATGTACTGTTCTTCTGCTACATCACTGGTATACACGTAGGGTGGCTTCTTCTCTGTTCTCGGAATCAAATCCTCCATACTGTAAGGATAATATATTAGACATTTTTACTCACATATCAGACATTTTTACTCACATGTTTGAAAAGTCTCGCATGATTCTGCAACCAACGAGGGGTTGATAGAGTTCGACCTCAACGACAATAATGGTAGGTTCTCCACTTTGTGATAACAGAGCTATACTCGAGGGAACTTCTACTTCTTTTCCGAGTATATCGGATTGCCCAGATTGCGAATGCTAACATTTCGAAATTTCACAACTCTTAAACAAATTTAAATACATTGAATAATTGAAAAATTTCGAAAAATTTTACCTTCGACGTTTTATGTTTCTTTTCTCTGTCTTTCGATTCTCTGACCCGCGTTTCTAAAACGAAGATGTTGTCCTCGAGGCCAACAGTTTCGGTTATATCTGTCGCATTATAGGTGTACAACTGGCCCACGACTCGACAACTTCTCTCTGTAGAAATAAAAGACTTTTCTCTGCCAAACATTTCGCTAATGCATTCGCAAAACGTTCTAGGAGCAATGTAATTTACTTCCTGGGAAAATTAGTTCCGAGAGATCAACGTAGCATTGATACAGTTGCGACTTGGGCGATGGACTGGCTTTGGATTTTGCGGAAGAACTTCTCTCTATCAACATGAATTGAAAAGGCCAGTATTTGTACTTCGTAATATGATTCCGCATCGCCTCGATTCCAGTCTTCCGTATGATACATCTATTTACAACGTTCCATTCGATTCGCGGAGCGTCTTCGCATACCTTTTTCTAAAGCAACATTATATTTATATAGATCCTTTGTTTTCCACTTTATTATTACACTCTTCAACGATAAAGTGGCTTATGGTTAATTATGATAATAGTACCGCCAAGTCAATCTGCTTCTTAAACGTATTTTTCACTCCCATAAAGTCACAATCGAGTTTGTACTTGGACAATCTGGCACGATTTTCTACATTGTTTAAACTATTCCAGCGCTTAGTCCTCTCAACATCACGGAACCCTGTCCATTTTCCATGATCGAAAATTAGTTTTTCGGGGACCTGTCGTCAAAGAGTGATTTTGTTGAAGAGAAAAATCTACTGTACAAACGTTCAGTTAACAAAATTATACCTCGCCGTCGACGTACGCTATGGTACCAGCTTTGTACTCTAAATTCTCCGCGAATGATTCTGGTAAATTGTATATACTTTCCACTGTGATGTTTAGAAAATTAATGTTTTCGTTTGTTTGAATTAGCGGTACACCACTTTGAGAAACTTTTACAGTCAGAAGTGGAAGATCCTGCCATGGGACAAGTGCACCATCGTAAGAGAATTGTGGCGTTTCTAGTATCAGTTTCTCAGTGAAACACTGTTCTCCTGAAAAATCAGTATATTGTTAAGTAATGATACCAAAATTGGAGCAATCGTAGTAATTTTCAAATAAAAATTAATTGAAACAAGGATGCCAGAACCTAATACTATTGGTATTAAATCAAGATTACAGCTGCCCAATGATCTTGACGACGAAATGGGCGCAGCCTTGGCAGTGAATATTGACTTTTTCTTAATTTCAGTGTTTAAGACACTGGATTGTTCTTCCTCTTTATTTTCCGTTTCATATTCAACCTTTACTGCAAATAAAACATTATTTTAGTTTTAGCTCGATATAATATATAATGCAAATTGTATCGGATTTATACTTAATACTGGAGTTGATACGATTGAATCAAGACTTTTTCTATCATTCGCAATAATTGACAAATAAACGACGAAATCGATATTGTAAACTGCTGATTCTTCCTCGCAGGTTGCTTTTACAGATACGGGAGTGCTTTCACCCAAAACAGTTCCACTGTGCTCCACTATAAGTGTCACGCTTATATCGTCCTTTCTGATCTACATTTTACAGGAAATATTTTATTAGCTTTATTGTAATAACCTCCTCTTTAATTTACAGTCATTAAAAACGTTTTTTTTTATAAAACAGTTTTACTGCACACTTACAATATTTTCAATGGAATTTATATTTATTTCGATTTTATTCTCGTCTGACGACTGCTCCATCTTATTAAAATAAAGGTTTTCCGTCAATCCATATAAATAATGATACCAAAACGTGAAAATCCCCTCGGTTCGATACTTCTGTTGTTTAAAAAACAAAAAAAAAAGCAAAGAAAGACTTCATTTGGTGAAATATATAGTCGGAGTACAATATTAATTTTATTACTTAATGGTATATAATTTTGTTCGATAAATTAGTATTACACGTATACGTGACGCATTCATAATTAAATACGTATGTATAAATACAAACATTGTAAATAATTTATTGCACTACGACGAGGGACAATCAATTTCATGATTCACTTTATTATCTCTTCAGTTGATAAATGATAGAGTCGGATCGATTTCACATATACTGAGCAACCCCAACGTTGTTTGATCAATTTGTACATAGTTAGTTATGTATTTACATCGAAATAGTGTCGTATGTACTTCATTAAAATTATAGCGATTTTTAAGCTCTTTGAAAAAAAGTCATTGCCATCAGCAATGTATTCCTTTCTTCGAGGAAAATCAATTATAATGTTCTTCCTGCAACTCCTTGCGAAAGAGTTGGTGAAGTAAAGAAAAAAAAAAATTTATTGAGATCATTTTATACAACTTATAAGTAATTGTTCAATAAAACTTAATCATTTCTTTACGCATATCACATTTTATTTCATTTAACAGTTATATATAAAGACGAGTACCTATTCGCGAAAAGGCGTAAAATAAAGGCGTAAACCTCTGTTAAACAACTCTGTATAAATTTGTTCTCAACAATAATAAAACCTTTACAAAACAAGGCACTAAGACTCCAAGTACAAGTGTCGCGTCTGCAACAAAGTTTACATTAAATCACAATAAATCATATATAAATTTCGGGCAATTGAATTTCTCTTTTTTTATATTTAAAACGTCTGTCTTTACACATTCTACTTTCACTACATTCGCTATGTCTTCAGAGCAATGCCTGTACTGCGTAACGGAGGAAGGTTTATTTACATAATGTCAAATTTCGGGGAAACCTGGTATTAAAGATCTTCTCAATTAATTTCTTCATAAACCCCACGTTATGTAAATAAGCTTTCGTTCAAACGTGACGGACGTGTATGCTGCTTGTTAGACGGTATAAAAAAGAAATGTACGAACGTACATTGGAGTATCAAAACGTTACGGACGGATATCAGTCGACTAGATGGATGATCTAGTCGACTGTATTTTCTCTTCTCTTCCATGGCTGATTAAGTTCAGGGAAGAAATTGTAGATGCGCGCATTGAGAGAAATATCAGCGAGCGTGGAAAAATGCGTATCTAAAATTTCTCTCCTTGCGCAAAGATCCCATCAAAGGTTCAAAGTGATGAAACGACAATACAAGTCTGAAACTATTTGGGGTTTATCGATCATTCGATCGTCATTGACGCAACGATTGGTTAAATTAAAGGGTCTTCAAGGTCTTCTCGATGTGCCTCAATGTCGTTTCCGGGACCGCATCTGTCAACGCTTTGTGAAATCCTTCGTAGACCATGAGACATCTAAACATTCCTTTCGTGTGGTTTCTGTGGAATTAGAGTACAGAAAAAAAGAAAAGTAAAGTATATGATAAATATAAACATTAATATTTTTATTGTATCCTAATGAGTGCATTAAAAATACGAGATAATTATACAAAAATATAGATATACACATATAGTAACAAATTTTAATTACAAAAGAAATGGTTTAAAAGTAATAAATAAAAAATGTGAAACATCATAATAAACGTTTATGGTATTCCTTGAAACATTCCCCTAAACATAAACCTGGATTATCCATACAGCCACTGCAAAAATAATTAGTGTTTTTTCGCGATCCATTAGCAAAACACTGTCTACATCTCTTTCGTTTTATTCTATTTTGTTCATCTCTAGAAAGCATTTCAGGTAGATGTTCGTGTTGTATTAAAGCAAGAGGTATATTTTCTTGATTGTTGCTATATAAGAAAGCATTAATAATGTTCAAGCGATAATCGAAAAAGTGTATCTTCTTTTTAGAAGACGAGTATTTTGAATATAGGAAAAAAGAATTTAACAATAACGTTTCTACAATATTTATCCATAATTTAATATTCCGTTCAAATGTATTTCTGATGCAAGTGTAATAAGATAACAATTGGTCTTTTTTGTCGATATTTTCCATAAATGCATTATATTTGTGTAATGCTAAGGGCTCTTTATATTTCTTTTTTCTTTTATTTTCCAACTCTATAAAGTCTGCTACAAATTCACTCGAGATAAACAAAACTTCTCTTTTATTTCGAAATTTACTCATTATAATATTATTTTTGTGACGAGATATCATTTCCCCTTCTACAAGCTTTTTATTAACAACATTTATATTATTTCCCTTTCGGAAGTTTCGTAAGGTGCCTGTGCAATACGTTTGGGCATCAAGCAGTTGTTTGGCTAATTCAAAATTGGTAAAAAAATCATCCATATAAACAGAATGTCCTTTGTACAGAAAATCTTCTAATAAATAACCAACTATTTTTGCTGCATATTTTGTTCCATTTGTATCATCATTGTTTCCTTTATATGTCTTAATTCGAAGAGTTATTCCTGAACCCTCTGTTAAAACATATAATTTGATACAATTATGCATCTTTCGAGAAATATTATCTAATCTGCCTCTCCAAGGAACTAGTGTCTCATGTATTATTAGTTCTTTTTGCGGATAGTAGAGTTGTTTCATTTTTTCATTGAAATAATCAATAATTGGTTCTATTTTATTCATACAATTATTGGGTCTATTATCCGAAGAGAAATGCAAAGAACGTAATATTTCTTGAAATCTGTTCCTGCTCATATGTTGGGAGAAACAAGTGAAATTAAACAGTCTCTGAGTACTCCAATAGTTTTGTAATTTCGGACATTTAATTGTACCCATATGTAATAGTAGACCTAGAAATATTTTTAATTCTCGCACTGTTAATTCTTTCCATTGATCACCTCCCCTAGTCTTCCCATATTTATTTGTTTCTATGACAGTATTCAAAAAGAAGTTTGTATCAAACAACAATTCAAAGAAATTAATAGGATCCAATCCATTAGGTGAATATTTTAAACCATTATTTTGTTTGAAAACAAATGTTTTCAACTTATCCTGAAGCATCCATTCTCTATCATCCGTACTGTCTTCAAGAAATTCATTTACTTCTATGCTCTCTGATTCGATACTGCTCTCACTTACATCTATTTCTTCAGAGATTAGTTCACCATCTTCATCGTCTGTTTCTAAGTAATTTTTATATCTATTTTTATGCCAATTGATTTCAATATCGTCACTGTCGTATACAGTAACAGAGACTTTTTGCCTTTTTGTGTCATTTTCCAATACAGAGTCTTCGCTTTCATCACTGTATACAATTTGACACATCGACGGTCCTGGTTTATCCATCCTTTATTTGATCTTCAAACCAATAGCAGTTCTACCTTTTTATTCACCTTAGTCTGCACTGTATTTTACAACAGTATAAATGTTCCCATTGCTCTCTGAGAACTGACCATTACTACCGATCTCTATACATGACCCACATACTGCGTCAGGGGCTAAACGAGTGAGATGTTGCGTGACTCATCTGCTGAGTCACCGGTGTCGAATGCGTTAAAGATAGAGGGGATGTAAACAGTACTGCCCCGCATGATCCTCACGTGATCAGACGCCCATTGGTATGTTATGTTCTAGTCAGGGCCGTATTGTACTATAGTAGCCCTGATACATCGTGTTCTGTTACATTACGTTGCCTTTTACATGTAGTTTTACTCGTTTTACTTTATACAATATCTTTTATATATTTTCTCTTACAAAGTGAAGTACACATAGGGTTGTAAAATGGTATATTATTAGTGACTTGTATCAATATGATACATTTACCTAGCATCCAGATTCCCATCGATCAACAATCTCGCGCCCGTGTTGAGTAACTTGTCCCTTACATCTTTTGGCAACATCATGGTGTGTTCTGGTCCGATCTGCTGGACTATAGAGGCCAATAGCCTGGCGGTCGCTGCTCTCACGATAGCATTTTGATGACTACACAAAGAAAAGGAATTAATTATGATTTAAAGATTTTTTTTCTGTCATTTTCTGACTGTACGCTGCGTTACCTAGCTCCTCGCTGGACAATCACACCAATCGTTTTATGTGGCGGAAGGTGTTCGATCATGCGATCAAGGGCCGCATTGCTATCTGCCCGAAGAAATCGATTGGTGTCGGCTGTCCTATGAAGCAATGGTCCAGCTATGTCATCGAAATCCTGTTGACAACATAAGTCCTCGTATCATCGAAATGTCATAGAAGTGGGACTTCTGCGTAGATTAAATAAATTAATTGCATGAAAATGTATGGGTAATCACCTGATCTATGCCACGGATTTGCGAAGTAAAGATATCGCTAGCGGCCAGACATGCAGCACGCGCCACCTGTGACCGAAGACTTTTTATTTGTCGACCTAAGAGCCGATTAATCGTCGCTGTGGTGCTGACGTCCAAGGACTCCGGCTCTTGCTTTGTAATCTGGGACAATGCTTTCAAACCTTTCATGGTAATTTCCCTAAAACGATGAAATAAGTCGGGGTTCAATTGATTAATGATTATATTTCTTAAATGTGGGATACTTTACGCCAAATCAATCATGTTTCACGTTCGATGTTAAGGGTTATGATACAAATTAGATTCCAATGATTTACCATTCTTTACTCTCCAGCTGAGAAAAACACTGTTGCACAATCGGCTTCGTTTTTTCCAGTTTTACTAAATTTCCTTTGCTTCGGTATCGTCTCATCATGCGAGGAACTTTCGACGTCATTCGTTTGGACAGTTTGGCCGATTCCATAGGTTCAGTCTGAACACAAACGTATGGGTACTTAGAATTAGAAACTTTACAAGCTAGAAAATCAACGAAAAAATAATAAAGTAATACGAAGAATGATCTCATACTTCAATCTTTAAAATTCCTGGCTCCGTGTTCGTTTCGCTGGAGCTATCCCGACTTTGTCCATCGTCCAATGTATTACTCCCGTTAGAGTCATTAATGAACTGGAATGGAAAGACAAGTAGAACATGCATTTCATTTCTTTTCAAAATTTAATTGATTTGATTACAATTACGTACTCTGCAGGCATTATTATCATCATTTTCGATTAACGGAACAGCGGTCTCTAGATGATTTTCAATGTAGTTGAGAGCCTCGGTGGAGTGAGGCCTGGATGCAATAATGATCGTCGGTGATTCCACATTTTTGGATCCTCTACGGGACTTAATCGGTTCTATCGGTTCGAGGAAATCATCTTCGCACTGTGGTATAGGCGAAATCACTCCCTCTTCGCTTGAATCTGCGGATTCTTTATTTTCCAAATCGAAACTCTATAAGGAGTTAAACATTTGGCTGATTATAGTCCTTGAGAATGAGATACGTGAGGCTTTTGTCTACTAACCAATTTATGAGAACTGATGCAGGAATTACGCCTAGGTGATTTCAACGCTCCAAAATCGTTGGAATTCTGGCTTGACGATCGACTCGATTTCTTAGGACTGCTGGATCTTCTCGATGGTGAACCTAGCACTTCTTGAAAGTCTGAGGCCAGATCATCAGCAGACGTTTGCAAATTTTCGCTTGTCAATACCCGTTCATTCGTTAAAACGGATACTATAGATCTTCTTCCCGCGCTTGTCCTTCCATCCGTTCCTTCGACTTCGTCGGAAGCACTTGATTCGCTGTCGTTCTGATGCTCGCAACATTGTGAGCATAGAGAGTTCCTGGTTGACACGCGACTCTGGATCCTCGATTTTGCTTCCTCCTCGCTGCTCCAGTTTTTGGAAACGTCGTCTTCGATTGACCCGATCGGTGGCTCAATTGTGGCATCAATTTTCTCACCCAACGCGATCTGCAAATGCATTTTTGTTGTATTATATAGGTGAGATATTTGTTTGGAATGTTTATTAGCTTGAAAGTCCTTGCGCCGAGAGAACTCACAACGAAGTCGACTGTGTCTTGATCAGGAGTACTCGACTGGCCAGTAATGATGTCAAACGCAGCGTCTACATTTCTTTCGGGGCTGGATGATCTACTCTCGCTGTCATCTTGGGTGTCGTGAGTGTCTTGTCCAGTATCTTGCTCGCAATTATTTTCCAACGCATCCGACGACGACAGTTCCTGATCATCCGCTGAAAAGTAGAATAATTTGATTCGATAAACTCCAATTACTGGAATGATGTTTTCTACAAACTAAATTATTATAAATTTTGCTTATGGTAAATTTAATCAATGGAACATGTAATATATAACTATTATAGAAAGCAAGGTGTTCGAATACAGCTCGTTCGAGTGTTGCTTAAATGTTACAGGCAAAATATTGATTCCTTCCCCATGTTGGGTCTAAAGGTTTACTCGTCGTCCGAGGTTAAGAACCTCTCGCTCCAGTTCGTGTACTTTCGATCGCACTTGGCTAGTCTCGCAGCTCATTTTCTATCGCTTTAACGATCACAATTCTGCTGGATGAACTCTCCCATAATTCGTCGCTGTACATCGTATAGATCGTGTCTATAAGACAACCGACTCAAACAGAAGTTACATAAAAATCAATCGAGACTAGACAGGGTTTATTCGTCCTTCGAGAAATCACTGTCGAGGCTGAATTTCATGCTTTTGTCACGCATAAGAAAACGTACTATAAGGTGATAATCACGACACAATTAATTTAAAATACCTTCGAAACGTGTTTCAATGGCATCCAACGTGTGCACTCCATAGTCTTCGTTCGTTAAAAAATGATGTTTGTTCTTTTCGTTATACTCTTCCTCGTTCACCACTTTGTCTCTAAAACACAAGTCAAATAATCAGGTATAAAGAGTAAGCATTTGTAAACGTTTGAGCTTTGAAAAAAAGTGCCAACAAAATTAAAATCGGCTTTTGGGAGTCACCCCCCTTAATATCGCATGAGGGTCACACATAAAATAAAATCATACCAACTAACTGTACATTGCACAATACATGTCCCGCGCATATAGAACTCCCTTTCATGCATAATATATAGCGCTGATGAATGTCGAGGACAAAAGTGTTACGAACTCGCCTATTTCCCGCAGTAAGTATTACAAATCTGATTTACTAAAGTCCTCGATTAAAATACACTGCATACAATAGTCTGCGCACAGTTGCAACGTGACTCGTACTTTTAAATGGTACTCCCTTGCTTCGTACATTAACAATTCATTTCTCGTTTATTGCAGTTACCTCTTTATTTCTATTCCGTACCATACATTTTCTATAGTAAATTTTCCATGAACCTGGAAACGTACATAGTGTCGTTGCTGGTGCTCAACGTCAAAGGAATCACGGGCGTCGTGTGGGCGGTGGTAACGATCGTTGAAATCGAATCTTCCTCCTCTTTAGCGACGTCCACCGATTGTCTGCACCTAAACGCGCAAGGACAATAACGAAGAACCGTGTCAGCGATTTTGTACTCCTTCCTCCTGGACTTTGCAGACTTTTCATTGAAATTCTGATCCTTTTCTGGCGAGTTCGAGTCTTCATTCTTGAAGACTGTGACCTTGTCGCTCTCCTTGGTCTCGTCAGGCCAGGCGCAATACTTGAAGATCATTTTCACCGATGTTCCCTCATCAATCGCGATCCTACCTCTTCGATTTCGACTGGCTGGTACCATTTACACTGTTCGCCAGCGTTATTTCCACGTTACTGGGTCGTTTCATTCTTCAAGGTTCACTTTTGTCGCGGCTAATGGAATCCTATTGTATCGTACGCTTCCGACGACTGTCTTTTATCATTTTGCAGCATGTCACTTATTTTATTTTATAAAACACCGGCTGATTATTTAATTTTATCGTTGGGAAAAGAAAATATCTTGAAAAAATGATAAAAAAAAATGTTTCCGTGTTTCCCTCGAATTCTACGATCACCGAAGAGAAATCGAGGAAACTTCGAGGCAGTAAATTTCAAGTGTCTAGACGTATGTAAATGAAATTTCTGGCTCGAACTTCCAGGGGTTAACGAATGATCGATTAACAACCTGTTATATCTGAAGGATAACTGTAACTTGGATAACAGAGGTTCAAAAATTTTCCAATTTGAATATATTTTCATAATCGAGGATCTAAAATTTACTATCAGTAGATATCGATACGTTCTTAAAAATTCGTTCGATTAAAATGATTGAAACTAATACGTTTTTTGTTCGGAAGAGATGCAATGATACGCTGCCAACATATCAATAATCTCTATACACACGTGTTGTGAAACTTCACGACATTTCTGAACAAAGTAGCAATTTTCTACGTACTTCTTTAGTCGCTAATACTGTAGTTTGTAGCGGTGAAGTTTGATTATTCATTGAAATCCATACTGACAAATGGAACGACTTACAAGTACTTCTTGTACTTCGAAGAGAATTATAATAAAAATATATGAAACACGCAATATTAACTTAATTTTACCACACAAAATTAACGAGTACCAATTTGTTTTCGCTACGCGAAAGAAAATAGAACATATTGGTAAAATTTTAAACTTGAAAAGAACAAAATAACAAAGTTTCAAACGCAGTGTTCAGGAGACCATTCTTAAACATACTTCCAAAGTGATTTAAACGCGATGGAATACCGTGCTAGGGTTCGCAGCGATTCTGTGCCACACGAAACATAAATTAATTCTCCCAGTGACGAATAATTCAATTCTGGACAGTTGTCGCCGACGCACGACACTCTCAGTTAGACAAGAATCAGTTTAAATAAAAAAAGAAATGTATCCCAAGTTCCTCGATGATCACTTTCCACAATTTCCGTGAAAGCAGAAAATCGAAAAAGGGGAAAGGGGGAGAAACGGAAGCAAGTGCAATTTGCG